TATTAAAAAGTTAAATAAAACGTTACAACGATGTTGGTGGCAAAGAAAAGGTGTTCAAAAGCAATTTATCCCGAAACAATTTTTTAAGAGGGTCGCCGCTTGCTCAGAAGTTCTGAATCAAATGAAATAAAAATTCAAGTGAAATATTTTAATATGGGTGTCAAACACGAGAGGTTTAAGAAAGTTTTATTTTGAGATGTATTTTAGAAGAAGGTTGCCACCTGTTTATAAATTAGGTATGAAATCAATTAATAAGTCATATGAAATATATTAATATGGGTGTCAAACGAAAGAGATTTAATAAAGTTTTATTGATAAAATATGTTTGAAAAAGGTTGCCATCTATTTACCTAGATGTTCTTAAACGTAATATTTTAATATTAATTCATTAATTATAAAGCAAGAGAAGTTTCAGAAAGCCTCATTTGAAAAATGTTTCAAAATATTGTTGCCACCTGTTTAAAGGTTCAGAAATTATTTAATTAACAAGTTAAATTAAATATTTTAATATGGGTGTCAAACAACACAGCTTTCAGTAAGCTTTATTTCTAAAATATTTTTGAACGGGGTTGATACCTGGTTAAAAAGTTAAAATTAATTTAGCTAATAAGTAAATTCAAACTTTTGTTGCATGCATATGTATGTACATATGTAGGAGTCAATCGAAAAGAGTTTAAGAAATATTTATTTGTTTACTTATATTTTCGAATAGGTTTGCCACCTTTCTACAAATTCAAAATCAATTTGGTTAACAAATTAATTAGATATAAATCTAGAGAAGCTTAAAAACTTTATTTCGAAAGGATTTTTGAAGCGAGTTGCCACCTGTTTAAAAATACAAAAATTATTTAACTAATCACCATATCTATACTAGCGCGATTAAAATAACCATCTGAGTAAGAGCATTAAAATGATTAGCATAATTCTATAGCATTCCGTATAACAGATTGAGGTGCGCTGTAAAATTTTATAGCATAACGTTAAATCGTATAATATAAGACGCGGGCGGGGCCGCGGGTAAAAGCTGGTATGTACATATATATGTACATATGTATGCAGTATGTACATTTGTGTTAGCGCGCCATATGTGTCTTATGAAGCTCTTCGATGAATGAGGAAATAGTGTCAAATATTAAGGTTATCAACGCTTGTGTGTGCATATTTACTGTTCTTTATTCACTTCAACATAAACGAACACTAAGGACTAGTCTTTGTTTTTTGAGTCTGCCTTCTTTTTATGGTGAAATGTAACATTTTAAGAAAAATTTTCAAGCTAATTTAATTTGAGAATATAATTTTTCGTTTTTTTGTAATTCAGAGTCTAATTATTCTCCATAGTAGGCGCATAGATTCAATATCCTCGTTTACAAAGTTTTTAGAAATCAAGAAACCCCGATTGACAAAATTATGCCAGTCTCGCCTAAAATACGTTCGCCTGTATGAACGATTAAACGAGGTAGTATGCACGTTGAAGATGTAATCGATAATAGGAACGTTTTTATTTTATATTTCTATATCGATGCGAAATTCTACCGACGACATTTAAAAATAAATAAAATTTTGCGTGAATTTTGTACTGCGTTCACTTATTAAATTTTAAAAACACTCGTAACATGGTGCGACAGTAAATTTTATACAAAAAAAGAACATCAATATATTCCCGAACCTATGGGTCAAATATAGTAAAACTGCTTTTGTAGTTTTTCTCTCTGGCGCCAGGATTTTTTTAAAAGGCTTTGAAATTTGAAAAATACGATTACTTCAAACATTGTTAAAAAAAATCAGCGTAATGTAGAAAATAAGTATGGGCAGCAAATTAAAGAAAAAATTCTGTAGAATTAGAGCTGACCAAATTTTTTGTTGTATAAGTACGAGTTGGTATGGAAAATGTCCTTTTAAAATTGCGTCCTTGAATATCCTTAAAATTTTGCAATAATTGTTAAAAATATATATATATATTAAGGACTACTATACAGTCGACCACATCCCGAATTTCGCCTTTCAAACTTTGTTAGCTTAAAAAAATAAAATTATTTAAATTTTTTATAAAAAATTTTCAGTTGATACCGATATTGTTATTCTACATTGCACTGATTTTTTTTTAAATAACTATTGCAATTAATCTGTAACTTTGAAACTACAAAGTTATTTAAAAAAATCTGAATTCAGAGAGTAAAACTAAAAACGTAATTTTACTATATTTGGCCCGCAGTTTCGTAAGTACATATATTGATTGCTTTGAGTATTTGGAATTGTTTTTTTGGTTTTATCGCAAGGTGTAATTGAACAATATTTCACACAAACACACACCACTTTGCCTCTTTGAAATCCTAGCAAAACTTGGTTGCGGCCCAAAAGCCAACGTGAACGCCAGTAGAAGGAATGAAAGCGCTACTTTTGCGAAAGTCATTATTAGAAAATTTTTAATTAAAATTTTTTGCTGAAGTTATTTCATTTCTAAATTTTTTTTTTGTAATATTTTTAAAATTTAGTTCCTCGATCACCAAGTACCGCCACGCAACTGAGGAAATGATAATTCAAATCATCTCGGGCAGCCAATAGCCCCATCACCAGCCATAAAAATATGTATGTATGTATGTACATATTAGTGTATGTTTGTGGACCTCTAATCTACGCAATTGTCACTTAATCGAGACCCATGAATGCTTTTTTTTTTTGTTCTAATCTTCTAATTCCGCTTGCATTCGCCAGCCATTTCTGAACAGACGCCACACTTTATTACTCCCCACTTTATTAGCCGTAGCTATGGAAAAAGTATTTAAGTTTTGAATCGTTTTAACAGTTGCTCTATCAGTGTATATGTATGTATGCATTCGTATTACATACGATGACCATTTCGCAATCCTAAAGATCTTTTTAGAAGGCGAAGCTTTGAATTGAAATAATGTTCTTTTATTCCAGGTCGCATATGTATGTATGTATTTGCATGACACAATTTTTACAGATTTCACTACATACATATGTATTTTATATAAAAGTAATGTGAGCAGGCATATATACATTAGCACATAATACATATTTACTTCCGATTATGTTATAGCAGCATATCAGCACAGCCTACAAGCTGAATTTTTTTGTATTTTTTAGCAATGACCTTGAGTAGGAAAAATTTAAAGTTGTTCTACATTCAGAACAATATTTTGTATTAAAAGCCATTTGCCTTTAGGAGGCGCCGTTATAAGTCCATCCATTTGCCAAGATTGCGAGCTCCAAATATTTATTTTTTAACCATTTTAAATCATTTTTCTTCTTTTAGTTGGAAGGGTATTTATCATCTTGGAGAGTACCATGAAGTATAGTGAGGCTTCTGGATATGCGCTTATAGTTTGCTTGACTGTGCGGAAGTCTTATTTTTGCGACTGCCATCTTTTGACCACGTCGAATCTTGAAAGTACTGTACAGACACTTGTTAGAGAAGATGCCTCCGCTCGGCTGGTTATCGTGGTCGGGAATTCTTAGGCTGACATGACCGCCAGCCAATAAATGCCATAGACTGAGTAAGAAAGAAAATACGCCTAAATTTGTGATGTCTATTATGTAGAGCTGCCATGTACAAGCGAGCAAACTCGATGTCAGATTTGTAGTAGAAGACAGATTACGATGCCGAATTAACCCCAGTGGACGAGCATTTTCTCGCCGGTAATGAATTCTGCTGCGCCTGTTTGGTCGCCGGGGACAAGTTGAAAGCATTGGACGAAGCTTGCCTTGCGACAGGATGCCTTTGAATGTCGCCTGAACACCATCTGCATAGCGTGACCCAAATTTACTCCGTTACGGAGTAACCCAATACGCTCAGCAAGCAATTTTTGGTAGGCTGCTACAGATGCAAGCACCCGAGAAGGCCCACCCAGGCACGTCAGCAGGCATCTTTTCAAGTATAAGGACGCAGACCAGACCTATATAGAAAAAACAATGGAACCGATAAACGAGCTATCATTGGCATTCATAGTCTGTCTCCACTTCTGCGACTCTCAACCTATGAATGCCGTGATAAGAACCCAATCTCTATCTATTGCCAACATAGAGCTTTAGCAACCACCGCAGATGTGCGTCACTCTGGCCCAATTACGGTCTGGATACTGTAGCCGTATCAACAGCTATTAAACCAAACTCGACCCCGGAAGTAGGCAATGAGTACCCAGCATGTGAAAATACCCCCACGACACAAACAACCTCTTTATATGCCCACTTAAGCCCATTCAGCTAGTATCACTTTCCCTCTGGTCCAACCCCGTAGAAAAGGCACTTTCCTGGATCTAGCGTTAGTTGAGCTTGTCGACAGCAATTGATGGGTAAACCGATCTAGGCGAGGCTTATTAATGCCGCTACAACGAAAACAACAAGTTCTCCTCAAATAGGCCTAAAAGGGGCCAGATCCTTCAAATAAGCCTTCAACGAATTCGCTAGGGAACATCTAGACATGGCAATCGTAGAAGGAGGACAACCGGACGAAAATCTGACAGCGAACAAGTAAGAGTGGTCATGTGAATAGTTTCGGTTAAACTTCCATTTATTTTTATATTATAGTTTCGTGGATTTGAAGCGTACTTTTTCGCAATATGTACTCAGAAAATGATGAAGTTAGCAATAACGTGACGAATTGGTGAAAGTAATGGACTTGAACTGATGCAAAGCACAAGTACCTGCGGACATGCATACATATGTATGTCCATTCGTAGGTACTCTTTATACAATTTCTTTTTATCAATAACGAAAGCATTTCAATTTCCCTCAAAACTTCTTTTTGGGTTCTTCAATTTTATTATTTTATTCAAGCAAAACAACGCCAAAAAGCAAAAAGGCGGCAAATCAAAACAAAAATCCACTGACCCAATTAACAAAAAACCGGCTGCCTTACTCATCTCAACTAAGCGCAGCTTTACATTCAACATTTGTTTGCCCAAAGTATTAAGAAGCTGAAACTTCTAGGAAGCTGGCAATCGACCGACTGCCCGTACAGCACAACATACATATGTACATAAGCATCAACACCTGAGCGGAGCGGCAGCGCATTCAAATTTCACCCAAACACTCCTCGGTGGCGGCGTCGTCGTCGAGAGCTGAAAGCGAGAAAGTGGAGAAGCAAACAGAAGAAAAATCTCGCTCTAGCTAGCCAGCATAAGTGGTAAATAAACAGAGATTGAGTCGAACATAAAAAAAAAGCTGACCAAACCAGAAAAGAAGGAGGCACTAAAAGAATCCCCAGTTTGAATTAAAACTCTTCTCTTATTTTTGTTTTGTATGTTTTTTTTCCCTGCGTTACACGATGAGTTTTTTTAAAGTTACTTAAGCAGCCCGCGGCGTGGCAATAGTCGCAGTTGTATTGCGCCTGCGCATCTATTCAGACAGTTACTAGAGATTAAAGAGCTACTAAACAATACGCGTTAATTGTAAGCATTCCACCAAGCAAATATGAAGTTTAACAAAATCAGTTTTATTTCCGGTAAGTTAAACACAAATATGTACATAGAACCCTACGAAACCACTTTGCTTAGATGCAGCAGCTAAAAAATTTCTTTTGTTTCTCTTCCAGTGCTCATTGTGCTACTCGCTATTTCGGCTGCTAACGCGAAGAGGCATAAGAAACACAGATCATCCGCATCCTCCAATTCGCCATCGAGTAAAACTAAAACCAAAACTAAGTGGTCCTCTTCATCCGACCTGGGCCGCAGTGGTGGACAGCTCGCCACCGAGGAACACGGCTACTACGTCAAGCGCACCTTCTTGCCGCTCAACGACTCCGCCGCCAGTTACCCAATCTCAACGCTGCGCAGTCCGCCCTACTTGGGCATACCCATTGCTTGGTATGCTTGCGAAGGTGAGGCCTGCACGAAGGCAAACACAGCCGCCATTAGTGGAAGCGCTATCGCATTACAGGATGGCTTTCTCTGCGATGACGATTGCGTAGAGCCGTACGATCCAATCTGCGGTAAAACGCCTAGCGAGTTGGCAGTTTTCTATAACAAATGTAAATTGAATGTGGCTAAGTGTCGCACACATGGCCTCTGGTTGGATGTGCCATTCGAAGAATGCAAGCAAACGAACCCTAAAGAAGTGGCATACGCGGCGCGCAAATTCAAAAGATCACCATTCTTTAGGGAGATAAAGACGGTCAATGAAAAAGTGAAGAAGCCAGAAGATGGAAAAAGTAAGGAAGATGACTCTTCGGAGGAAGACGCAATGTTGGATGTTGCATTACAGACATTAGACAAGATTGGCGATCAGATAGCGGAAGCTGAAGCCGAGGCGTTGGATGAGGCATCGACGGCTGCACCAGTTAAAAGTGAAGTGAATTCTCCCATTGCTACGAAACCAGTTCAGGCGGCGGAAGACGTGTACGTTGGCAAGCCTGAAGATGAGGGCAATCCCATTGCTACGCCAGCAAAGGAAATTAGCGCAGCCGACAAGCTCGTGAAGGCTCACGATGCTACAAAGGCGGAGGAGAATAGTGTGCTCAAACCAGTTGAGAGTAATCAGTCGAAGCCAGCTGGTGGTTCTATTTTCCAGCAAGTTAGGAGTCACACGCACAGACTGGCTGTTAAGAAGTAATTGCACGTAGGCATAGTTAGGTGATACATACATATTTTTAAACAATACATATACTTCTTTTAACGGGCTGATATATTAGAAAATAAATATTTATCCTTTTAAAATGGTTGGTGTTTTAATGTGTATTTTTAAGGATAGGAAAGGAGGAAGGGGGGGGAGTACAGGTTTAACGAATCGTTAGGAAATAAAGGTAGGCGGTTTTAAACCCACTGCATGCTTACAAGAAATGTGTCAATGAAAATTTTCCAAAGATTTTTTTCCAGACCATAATCACATGAATTCTTATCCGACAGTTTCCAATCAAAATACCCATCGATGTCGATAATTGCGTACTGAGTAGTTTAAGCCACTCCTTTGACTGTCTTTGGTTTAAGGACTTCCTTTGGCAGCTTCCGGTTCTCCCATGGTCAGAAGAGCTTTGCAACGTATTCAGAATTAGCCTAGCCTAGCGAGTGGAAGGAATGAAAACACTTATCTACCAATTGCCGATGGACAATCAACAACTTTTATCTGTTCATGGCCGATATCCTTGCTCTCGGACCAACTATGCCTGCTAGTATACTTTCAGCTTACTGTATACCAGGTAAGGTACAAATCTGGAAATGCGTTTCCAAAATACATGTAGATTTCTTGCACAGTTCTATACTGAATATCTTCGAATACTATTGCTCCCAGTGTTCCATCTCTGGGACTAGGGTCTAGGCGAAGTTAAGTAGAGATCGTTTTGCCGCCTTCTCTATGGTTAAGTGTACAGGCTACATCTCTAAGACTACCTCTAGCGCTCCAGCCTTGACACATATGTTATCACAGTTTGCACTATCCTGATTTACATATGTACATCTTATCTGGTAAAAAGTATAATTGACGTTTTAATTGGGTTGACGTTGAGCCTCATATTAGAGCACCGTCATTTCGTTAGGTGCTGCTAACGAACACTAGAATGGGATAAAAAAGCCAGCAATATACGTTGGAAAACTTCATCCAGTAGTTGGAAGACTCCCACACTAAGATCAAATATTGATCAGTAGACAGATATGAAATATGGAGGCCTCAATTCCCGGCTGGGTTATGTTATCGGCTGGCTGCTTCCAATGTTGGAGGGTGTCAATTACGAGCTCGTTTTCGATCCAGTCCGTTCGCCTAGAAGCAGAACTTGTGGGTTATGTTAGGTGCGAGAATTCGTTATTGCCTGCTTCGCTTAGGTCCTCCAAACAGACAGTCTTCATGCCCAATAGGGCAGGGCAATGCATAGGTAATGTCAAAGACTGTCAATTTCTTTCACGTCGCGTCAGCTTAGGCAGATTTTATTGGCCGGCAAACCCATTCTGTCAGCATGCCTACTCATCAAGCAGTGACTCATTATTATTGCGGTCACTTGCCTAAATAGAGGGCGCTTTAACAAAATGTGTGCCTAGATCTCTCCTTGTCGAAGCTGGGCCAGTTTGTCAAGTTTGCCAACACGTAGGTTTTAGCGACCATATTTTATTTGCCTTTCCGATTAAGTGTGTTTTAAGCCACATTTTGCACCTAGATAGCGGTATGAACGCATTATGAGAAGAGTTGAGGTCAAAAAATTTGATTCCCTTCATCGCAAGCTCGTCAGCTGTACAGTTACCTTCTATTCCCCTGTGTCTAGGCTCCCACACAATGTGGATAGTAGACTTGTAAGCTAAACTTTGACAATTCAGTGACTTAATAACTGCATGGCTAACGGAGTATATGGTTCACCAGTTTGTAATGTCATAGAATAATATAGGTCGTATGGAGTGCGGTTTCCACATAATTTCCAGTTAACGCAGATCCGTAGTGAGCATGATTGCCTTAGAGATTACCTTTCAAGAATTGTGTACGGTGTTACCACCGACTTGTTATGTCAAAGCGTAGAAGATGCTCAACAAATAATGTTCGAACGCCGCCAATTTTATTTTGATATCAACTGTAGAAGATTGTCTACTACTAGACTCCGTAGAAGGAAAGTATTTTGCAAAGTGATTTGACAAAAATTTAAAAAGCGATAAAAAAAATTGCTAAACTGGATCGTCAGGCCAAAAAAAGCGATGTTTCCACGGACTTTGAATTTAACAAATGGAGATTGTGAGAGTATTAAATGTTACCACATTCTCCGTCCTTATCAGTTTAAAAAGATATCTTGTAATCGCTCAAAATACCTTTGATCTAAGTAGATCAACTCAAGACTTACATTGGGCCTGTCTTAGTAAAGTTAGGTGCTGAAATTAGCGGCAAATAGGAGGCAGTCAGAAAATAGGATGTTTCATCCAGTTATCCAGTTATAAATACTTAGTAGGGATTAGACAAGGATTGGAGACATGTGCCACTGTGCAGTAGTAAGGTTTTTTTTTTTTAGTTTTGAGTTGTTTCGTTATTGCAGACGACCATCGATATGAAAAAATATCTTGTAAAGATCGAAAATGGTTTGAGTTCTCCAATTCTACATATAAAATATCTATCTGGTAGCTCTATATATATGTATTATGATTCGAAAATTTATTTTGATAAACATAGTCCCTTAACAAAAATATATGTATGTACATAGTAGGTATATAACAAAGTGATTAAGGGGAAACATGTGGAATCCTCGATGGATATGGTATTTTCCTATCAACCTGTTGATGCTGGAGTCGTTGTGGTGGTAGTGGTAGTGGACGTAGTACTAGTCGTCGACGGACTCTCGGTCGTCGTGGTAGTAGTACTTGTAGTGCTAGTGGTGCTTGTAGTACTGGTTGTACTAGCTGTGGTGCTTGTAGTACTGGTGGTACTAGCGGTGGTAGATGTGGTCGATGCTGTGGTTGTGCTGAAATTGTGTAATGCATTTTGCTTCTTCTGCAACAGCGTTTGTATAAAACCCAAAACTATAGGACCGGCGGCTTTGCCTGACTCAACGTCGCCGGTGATGAGACTATGCGGTGATGGAGTGATTGAATCCGAAGTAACGTCGTTGGTGTTGGATGCAGGCAAATTTTCTTTTGTAATCGTTTGCATTGCTGGAGCTTGCACGCGCATGACGTTGTTAGTAAGCAGCTCCTGCACAGCAACATTTGTAGTAACTTCTGCTGGCTTTGAGGCTGCTGTTATACTAGGCGTAGACGTTACTCTCTCAGCGACAGGGGTTGTTGCAGTGACGATGGCTATTGAGATCTGCGTTCCAGTGAATGTTTCTGCTGCCGACTTTTTGAGCGTTGAATCATCCTTTTTGTTGGCATTATCAGGCAAACAGCGCGCCGCTGCACTTGTGCAAGAATATATGAAAAATATAGCGAGGATATGAGGCGCTGAATGAAAGTTTGATATCGATTAATTTTTTATAAATTTATAAAATTTTAGTGTTGAACTGAGTAAGGGGTTTATATAAAGTAAAATTAACTCTTCGAAATTATCAACCCACCGTAAGTCCAAACCTTCATCTCGCTATTTTCAAAATGTTGAAAATTTGCCAAAATCATTTGGCTTTTATAGAAGAGTATTGCGAATCTTTCATTGGAAGTGTTAATTGTCGCTAGAAAGGTACTAATTAATTTTTCTAAAATGAGCTCCACACTTTCGTTACTCCAGCCTTAGTAGTGGTGGCACCTTGCGTAGCTCTGATGGAGCATTATTTGCAGTATTCATTAAATGATTGTCTTTGTTAACACCTATAACTATGGATAAAAAATTTTAGTTTATTGAACAAATATCAGATGTAAATACATAAACTTTAGGGTGATCCTTATAATATCAACATACAAATTTTGAATGGGGCACAATTTTAATTTGTTCCCCGGACAAAATAAAATCCCCCATTTCATATTTAAAAAAAGGTGTTTAAAAAAAATTTCAGTGTTTATTTTTAAATTGCAAAAATTTTACAAAATCTCGAATAGTTTACTTATTATTGAATCTCGTCCAAATAATTTCACACTTGCTGAGTTCGAAGTAAAATTTTTTCGTATTTTTCCATTAAAAACCTACCTTGGTAGGGACCATGTATTTTTTTTCAATTTTGAAATAGTCGTGCATGGCTTCATTATGTACTTAAAACAAAACAAAGGAGTCCCCATGATTTTGATATTTTAAGGATCGCCTTAATACACATTTATATATGTATGTATGTTCAGTAGTCTACTCCAAGCAAACAAATAAAATCGAAAGGTCGAGGAACTCCACTTTTTTAGAAGTAGTTGTTCCATGGAATCCAGTATTTATACTTTCATACATATTCCCATTAGGATGGTTCGCATTTTTCCCCATAAACGGTATTTTCATAAAATTCAAAAACTACGATATTTCCGTAAATACTGGATTCAAATTGTAGTAGCTTGAAATGTGAAGTAGAATTTTGAAATTTTCTTTTCACAAATCATCAAACAATAAATCTGTGATGCATACTTGACTTTAAAATTCGATTAGTTACATTTTTGCAACCGTTATTTACAAAAATTAGTTACATTATGTGTTCGGAACCACATCACGCAGTTTTCTTTTTTAAATACATAGTTCCTAAAGTTTTAGGGTTAAATTTGCATCGTAATTTTATTTTTGAAAGTGTTCTGAAAGGAAATATTTTTGATAAATAAAAAAATATTTATTCTTAAGGATTTTATAGCCATTCTACCCAAGAAGTATTTTCCCCATAAAAAATATTCGGAAAACTTCAAAGTCCGGGAATATTAATTTATTTCAAAACAAAAATTTTTCCTCCACAGCTGCGAATTAAATTTCGTTTAACAATAGCATTGGTTAGGGTTTGGAGAGTAGTTAAAGTGAAGTTCATCCCGAAGGCCTCCGAAAGCTTTCACATCTATCCCAAGGACCCATCGGTTTTCTATTCTAATTAAAATCTTGGAGATGCTTATTGACCTACATATATATTAGTAAAACGATTCCTCGTGAGCGTCTGTCAGTGGATAGAGCAAAACCCTCATTCAAAAAGAGTTCGCCGTGGGTAAATTTCTCGGCATTTATGGGACTTATAACAATTATACTTGGAGTCCCAAGTGACTTAACTAAGCTCAAAGTATACCGCATGCTCTGAGACATTAGACTAAACAAGGGCACCTCTCAGGGTAGTGTTCTCTTGCCGCTTATTTGGATTGTGGTCGGATGCGGCCTGCTAGAGAAGCTGA